AGTTTGTTTATCAAATCCACATAATAGTTTTTGTTTTTAATTAATAATTTTTTTTATGATGAAGTATGGCGAGATTTGGTATTTTAAGTTTTTATATTTTTAGTGGAATTAGTTTTTTCACTGGAATAACATGTATTTATTTTTTACGTTGTTGATGTTGTTTTGTAAAAATTTAGTTAAAATCGATGTAAATTGTTATTTATGTCCTATAGGGCGCTAACTAGTATTAATAAATCAACTCTTTCATTGCAAGAGGTACTATTTTTTAAAATTTTAATTAGCTCAGCTAATTGTGTGCCTTTTGGTTGCAATGTAATAGTTAAATCGTGGGTTTTCATATAAGCTTCATATGGTTTAATTCAGATGTAAAACAAGGTGAGTTTGTATTTATTAAGTAAAAAAAAAGTTATGTAAATTCAAAAAAGAATTGCATTACAACTACTATTAAACGTAGGTTGAAACAGAAAGTATGTTTAAATCTATACAATGAAAAGAAAAAAATGTTGGGTAAACATCTGTGTTCGTAACAACGTTTAAGATAAATGTTCAAGAGCTATCAAAGTAAATGTTTGCAGCAAATGTTTACTGTTTGTTATTTGAACGTTTACAGCAAACGTTCAAGAACTGTAAATTAGTGTTCACAAAAACTTGTTCAAATAACGTTTGCAGCGTACGTTATGCAAACCTGAACAAACGTTATGGTAACATTTCTTGAACATTAATTGTCAGCTGGGTAGGAGGTTCAAGATCTATCAAAATAACCTTTGCAGCAAATATTAAGTCAACATTCGCTGGTTGTTATTTGAACATTCACAGCGAACATTTAAGAACTGTAAATCGAAGTTCACAAAAGTTGGTTCAAAGAACGTTTGCAGTGTACATTATGCAAACCTAAACAAATGTTATGGAACGTTAATTGTTAGCTGGGTAATGAGGAAAATATGATTTTCTCTAGATGTAATAGACCTGTTACTTTTGTAGAATGCAGGGTTGATATCAAAATTTTATACTCAGTAAAACTTTTATTTTATAATATAATACTTCATAGCTTATAATTAGGGCCCTGCAAACCAACATTTTTAGTTTCGAATCATGAATCGAATCAGTAATATGAAGAAATCCAAGTTTAAGCATCTTTTTTTTTTTTTTTTTTTTTATTTTAAAAAAGTTTATTTTTTTTACAAGAATACAAGAATTTTTGAAACAACTTTTAGTAATACTTTTTCGAATGTACACCGCAACAACAAAACGGACATTAGGCTATCCTGCTGAATGTGGTTACGGCGATCAAGTGGTAATTAACTTAAATATTTTTTTTGTCTGGATTAATTTTTCAGCGGTTGTTTGTAAGCAGTATTACAATTACTTTCGATTACAATTATATATAATTATTTCAATTAAAATTATATATAATATTGTTTGGAAGCAGTATTACATTACTTTACTTTAGCTTAAATAAAACATTTTGATAGAATCTTAGCATTGGAATCTAAAAAAACAACACTCACAAAATTAATGGTGATTTGAAAAACTCGAATCATTTATTTTGAATCAAATCTCAAATCAAAGCGACACTTGATTCACAAAGTGAATTGATTCGCATGGCCCTACATATAATACTGATGTTATTTATTATAATTTAATTTTTAATAATAATGAAATATTTTACAAAATAACTTTTAAAAGCTTTGTACTGTTAAAAAAAAAAATCAGCTACCAAGGAGAACAATTTTCCCTAGACAGTAACATACTAAGCCACATAGGATTGCTCAGTTTGTTGTATTTTGTTATACTCAATGGTGGCTGGGTGCATCTATATCTTCAGCAGCTCCTGCTAACAATTTAAATTGTAATAATTCATTATTAAAGTATAAAGCTATTGATATAACTATTGATAATGCTGCTCTGAAGCTTTTAACAATCACATGTGGTACCTCACTGAGGACTTGGCTCCGCTGTCTCTTTTTAATAACAACTTAGAGAACATACAGAGACAAAGGATTACAAATAAAATACTATTTAAAAAAAAATTTATGACAGTAAATCAAAAACATAAAAAAAAACTTGAAAAAAAAAGGTTAGAGTTAGGTAAATCTATATTTCCAGTGCTTTCTGAATTGGCTGTAAATAATTTGACTGATTTTATTGGTGAATACTCCCTAGTATTTTTTACCATATTAAATATAAACAGCAGTTTCTCAGGGAACCAGTTACAGAATGGCAAAAAACCGAAAATGTTTTAGCATTGAAAAATTTGATTTTTAATGTGTTGTAAATGACTCTTCTGACCTTAGAGTAAAGCTTTATAGTGACTTTGTGGAAACTGTTTTGAAAAATGCGTTCTAGAACATTTTGTAGAAGACAAGTTGTAGAAAACAATAGAAATATGTTATGCAACCAAAGAGAAAGACACTTAGAACCAATCAGATGGTAAATTGAATTTTGATCGGATTGCCTATAATTTTTAATTTTGATTTAATATTTTTATATATTGTAAAGATATGAAATTTTCTTATACTGTACACACATTTAATTGTTAATATAACAACAGCTATTCTTGTTGAATTTTAAATTTACTTTATATTTTTTAATTTAATGCTAAAACTTTTGATTTAACATTTTTATCACACAGTATATATTTGAATTTCTATTTATCATAACTATTGTTTGGAATGGGTAACAACATATTTTAAATTAGTCTAAAAATGTAAAATTATGACTGTGACTGATTTCTTTGGTAGACTTCTGATCAAACAAGTTTTGTTGAAGTAGTTTTTAACAGGGATACCATTCCAACAAAAATAAAGGACTTAACTGGAAAAAAAAAAGTTAAGTTGTGTAAAGTAGGTAACCACTCTTTATATTAAAAAACTTCAAATTTTCTCTTACATGATATACATTAACATTGTCGAATTAAGTTCAAATTTTGCCCAGTTCTTAGTTAAAAGTAACTTTCTCACCAAAAATGTCAATCTAGTTTACAAAAAAATTATAGCGCAACAAGATCACCCTAATATATATATATATATATATATATATATATATATATATATATATATATATATATATATATATATATATATATATATATATATACAACTTTATATTGCGTGTTAAGGTGAGCAGTCTGACATCATACTGAAATAGCTTGCTGTTGAATGCATATATCAACAGAAACAGGTAGAACATGCAATCAACATAACCATATATGTACATACATCAACAGAAACAGGTAGAACATGCAAGGAAGTGCCACTACTTTGACTAAGAATTTGGACTGGGGCAGCAATCTTTTTCTCAAAAAAATTTTTTCTTTTTGAAAAATGGAATAAAGTAAGCAAAAGAGTTTATCAATAGCTGATCTATATACATTTTAGTATATTCATATTTAGTATATTTGCATATCTAGTGTAAAACAAAATATCTATTATAATGTTATAAGACTAATATAATGTAATGTACATATTAAAAAAGATAAAAAATAATAGCCTGTAAAGATATCATTTGCTGTGGATGACCATCCTAAATATGGATCCTGTTAGTTAAGATCTCCATATATTTAGTGATACATGTGGTAGACAAAATAAGAATAATATCCTCATAAGTTTCATTCCAAACCCTGATTACGCTAAGTTGTTTTAAAAAAATATACTTCCCAGTACAAACTCACTGCAGTCATTCAATGTAATAAAATTGTTTGAACAACCAAGTGATTTATCAAAAAAAAGGCCTACCTACATTCTGAAAAAGTATTACCGAAAGATGTAGAATCAAGTAGAGAATGAAAAAGATCCTGATGTCAAAACTAGGGAACTTAGAGTAACAGATGTTATTTCAGATGAAATCCACAATAACAATAAAATACTAAATAAAAACTACAATTTGTTAAATAAATATTCAACTTACACAATTTAAAGATCTATCAACAGATACATTCAAAATAAAAAATTTTTAAAAAAAAGTTATAGAAATGTTTACTGATAAATTTGTAAATTAAATTGTGATATGGTTGTTTACTTTTTTTTATTTTTAAACTATAATTATATATATATATATATATATATATATATATATATATATATATATATATATATATATATATATATACATATATATATATATATATATATATATATATATATATATATATATATATATATATATATATATATATATATATATATATATATATATATACTATATATATATATATATATATATATATATATATATATATATATATATATATATATATATATATATATATATATATATATATATATATATATATATATATACTCTTGCATGGTAGTTGAAAAGAGTTTCCCATAAACTGTAGTTTTAAAGAGCGCATTAATAAACCAGACCAGAAAAAGTTTAAAAACTTAAATTTTTTTTTTTTTAAATGATAGACTGCCTGCCCAAACCAAACCCTCAGTCGATGTAGCAGCACTCCCTTGCGAATCAGGCTATTTGTCAGTCGTTGTAGCAGCACTCCCTTGCGAGTCAGGCTATTTGTCAGTCGATGTAGCAGCACTCCGTTGCGAGTCAGGCTATAAGATAGTCGATGTAGAAACACTCCCTTGTAGCAGCAGGCTATAAGATAGTCGATGTAGCAACATTTACGGATGTTTTAAAAATGTTTTTTATTAAAAGAAAAACAAAAACACCAATAATTAAAAAAAACTTTCTAGTCGTTATTATTGCGGTTTTTTAAAATTTTTTTAAAAAACAATAAAATTTAATGTACTTCCGCATTAATTTAATTGCTTTGACATTTCAACGACAATCAAATACAGCTTAAGAGACGAGGTAATTAAAATTGTAGTGGAAAGAGACTTTTTTTACATTAAAAGACTCTTTCGACTACACTATAAGGATATATATATATATATATATATATATATATATATATATATATATATATATATATATATATATATATATATACATACAATTATATTATTAAATTTATAATAAATTTAAAAATAAATAATTACCATAAATTTTTTGAATTCCATCAATATCATAATGTGTTAAATCATCAACATGATGCATTTGTTCATAATTTTCATACATAATGGTACCTTGTATATGAGAATGACCTAATCCAAGAGAGTGGCCTATTTCATGAATTGCAATCAAAAACAAACTTATTTTGCCAGAACTATGAGCAACAGAGTAATTACCAGTAGAAAATTTTTTATCATCATTAAAATGACAGTCACCATCTAAAGGTTCTATAAAAAAAGGTTAGTTAGAAAATTTTTTTTCAAAATGGTTTTATGTCTATGTTTACACACTTGTGTGGTTCCAATAAGTTTTTATAAAACAATTTTAAAAGTAAAAAAAAAAAAAATTGAACCACACATTAAAAATAGAATAAACAACTGATTTATCTTAAATAATTAATTAGCATTTGCTTATTTTTAAAAAACTATTATGATTTTAAAAGCAAATTTAAACCTCCATATTTTAGTTAAATTGCAAGTAAAGCATACAGATAAAAAATTTTTTAATAAAATAAATATTGCTACATCTTTGAAATTAGCACTTGTTTTAGATTTGCTTTTTATCAATTTCTTGGCTATATAATTATTATTTACTTATATATCAATGATTCTATAACAATTATTTTTGCAACCTCTTCTGTTTTGGATGAAAGCGTTGATTCAGATATCTTGTTTTAGAATAAATCTAATACTATCAGTAATTCATTATTAATTGGTATATTATGGTCATTCTTTAAACTTTATACGTAAAAATTTGCATTCTTTTTAATTAAAGACCAACATGCTAAATAATTTCTGAATGTTGAACTACTAGTAAGCTGACTAGATACATCGGACCATTCATATATCAACATTGAAAAAAATTCTACATTTTACAAAGTCACCTGAAGTCATGAGCACATACAGATATCCTGTATGTGCTCATATCTGTATTTTGTATATATATCGAACATACAGAAATCCTTATTCAATAGACTAATCTATAGGGTAGCATATAAGTTGCTTTACCAGTTTAAAAATACAATTTCTTTTCATGTTTTCCTGACTCATACAACCTTATCTTACTTTAGAATGTAAATACTGTTTCTCTCCTATCTTCACATTTTCCTGACTTATACAATTTACAATTTTTCAAGTCTTCTTGTTAAGAGTAACTAAAAAACATGAAATGTTTTTTAGTAACTCTTAACTTAATAGTGTTTGCCTTTCTAACAAAATGATTAGAAGAAGCTATTTTTATGTATGATGCAAGATTTTCTAGCATACTCAAACTAGTTAACTTAGTTGTATGACTTTTAGTTAACCATTTAGGAAACAGGACATTATTTCCTTTAGATTGCATAGTTACCTCAGCAAAGTAATTAATAAACAATTATTATTTTTGATCTGTTCAAGAATCAATGGAAAATGTGTTAATGGATCAACTATTGAACTGTAATAATCAATTTAATTAATGTAATAATTTATAATAATTAAATTGTAACACAATTGAGATGTTTTCTAAATTGAAAACTTTCTGCTAAATGTTTACTATTTAATTTGTTTCATTCAGTAATTATATCATTTTCAAAAAAAAAAGTTCAAATTCTTGATCAATACAAGTTTCAGATGGTCTTCTCAAAGCAATAAGCAATGGTAAGAAGTGTTTTAAGCATTTTCTTGAGAAAAAATTAGGAATTTTAGGCTCTGAGGTGAAGGATTTAAATTCCAATTTAACTTGCATTTTATACCACACATAATGTTCATTAAAATGTTTTTCACGCAAAATAGAGTTTGGTAAAGGCACTAAATCAGTATAGTTTTTATAATTTAGTAACATTGATTTTCAACAGAAAATGGGCGGCCAGGCAAGGGCTATTGACATTTGTCAATTTGTATTGATAGCCAGAAAATAGCCAGAAAGTTAATAGATTTAAGATGAGATATTAGAAATCTGTTAATTAAAGACCTTGCTAATAATAGAAAGAAATTTGATTGTAAAAAATCTGGTCCACAGCTTGATAAAATTAGAAAAGATATTATAAAATTTTTTTAAAATATTGGCTTTCAAATTGAAATAAACATAAATTTAAAAATTGTGAACTTTCCTGATGTCACATTTAACCTCTCGGAAAATACATATAAGCCTTTTAAGAAACCAAACGATGAATTATTGTATATTAATATTAACTCAAACCATCCACCCCAAATTCTAAAACAAATCCCGATTTCAATTAATAACAGGCTTAACCAAAACTCTTCTAATAAAAATGTATTCAATTCCCCCAAACAGATATTTGAAGATGCCCTTAAAAAAAGTGGTTTTGAAAACTTTGAATTAAAATTTGACCCTGAAAAAAAGAATACAAAAAAGCGAAATAGAACTAGAAATGTAATTTGGTTCAACCCCCCATATAGCAAAAATGTTTTCACAAACATAGGAAAAGTGTTTTTTAAAATTGATCGATAAGCATTTCCCGCCCTCTAATAAATTACATAAATTTTTTAATCGAAATACTATTAAAGTTAGCTACAGTTGCACAAAAAATATGGAAAGAATTATAAAAGGTCACAACAATGCTTTGTTAAACAAAAAAGAAATTCAAAATAAAAAAACTACAAAAAATTGTAATTGTAACAAAAAAAAACAATTGTCCAATGAGTGGAAGTTGCTTATCAAAAAATGTGGTATATAAATGTGTTGTCTCCTCTAACAATGTACCTGATAAACAATATATTGGCATAACAGAAGGTGAATGGAAAAAACGTTTTGCCAATCATAAGCAATCTTTTAAAAATAAAAAGTATTCAAAAGACACCATGCTGTCAAAATATATATGGGAATTAAAAGATAAAAATATTGATGATTTTACACTGAATTGGTCCATCCTTAAAACAGTGCCTGCATATAACAATATTTCCAAAAAATGCATACTATGTCTACAAGAAAAATTTGAAATAATTACACATACAAACCAAGAATGTTTATTAAACAAAAAATCGGAATTGATTTCTAAATGCAGGCACGAAAATAAGTTTCTCCTAAAAAACTATAAAAATAAGTGAGCTCAAATAATAGTTACATTAACTCCCCTTTGAAAAAAATATATTATTTTTAAAAAAGCTTAAGTAATTATTTCTAAAGAATTCTTTTTACAATAGTGTCAGCAAATTACACAAATATGTGAAAAATTGCAGTAGTTAAGACATGTTAAGACTTCCTGTAATTTAATTTTTGGTATAAATTGAAGTTTTATTAATTTGATCATTCATTTCTGATGAGTCTTTATTGATGAAACACAGTGTTAAATGAGAAAAAATTTTGCTAAGTGATTTTCTACTAATTTGTAATTGCTCTGTTCTTTTAAGAACATTGAGCACTCTTTTTGTAGAATACATTTTAAATTATTTAAATATAAATATATATATATATATATATATATATATATATAAATATATATATATATAAATATATATATATATATATATATATATATATATATAAATATATATATATAAATATATATATATAAATATATATATATATATATATATATATATATATATATATATATATATATATATATATAATAAAAATAAAAGTTTGCAAACTATCAAAAAACTATATATTTTTTCTTTATTAATAAGTGTAATCCATTCGCTTTAATAAAATTTTCTAGATGATTAAAAAAAATAATACTAAGGAGAAATTAAGGAGAGCAGTCAAATTTTAACTTTTTTTAAGGTTATTTAAGGACATTTAACAGGGTTCATGGCAGTTTTAGAAAGCCATTTTCATCGAGTTTTCCCTGATTTTGGTGGTAAAAAGAATATAATTTTCCTTGTAAAGTTTGAAGGATATAATACTTCGCAACTGAAACCATGTTTCCCTAACTTTTTTATCAGAATTTTTAAAACCTTATTTCTTTTTTTATTTTTCTATTAAAAACATAAAATAAAGATTTTTTTAAAAAGATATTTTAAACAAAGTAATGTTTTAACAAAATATAAATTTTATATGAGATCTATTCTATATAAAGTTATTTTAGTATCTTTCTCATTTGATCTAAGATTTTATTAGTGTCTGTTATTGTACTTGGTACAATTTTTCGTTTTTATTTTTATTTCATCGCTAACAACTTTTAATGCTAATTGGCTTGCTTCTTTTTTATTAGTGTCTCTTATTGAACTTAGGTAGCTTCTATATCTTTCATGGGCTGATTTTACATTGATTATCATTTTGTTTGTTATTTCAATATTATGAGGCTGAAGATTATTTGATAGCATATGATCTTTAACTAAACATCATGCAGTTATTGATTTTTCATTCAAATTTTATTTGAGTACTGGGGCATTTATACTAAAACCTCTCTCAATTGAAGCTTGTCCATGATTCAGTGTCAAAAGTATTTTGATAATTGATGCCAACTTGTTATATTTATTTAGATTGCACTTTTTTAAATAGAAGTCGTTTAAACTATCTCTATCTCTATTGACTTCAAGAAAATTGTTGTCATTCTCTAAAGAAATTTGTAAATTGATTTATAGCTTTATCAGAAAAGACTGGTGAAAGATACTTTAAGGTAATTAAGTGGGTCAATAAAGATTTGTACTCCTCTGCATTTTCTGGAGTCATTGTTATCAATGCATAAAGGTTAAAAACCTGAGAATTGCGTACAATGATAAACCCTATGGAGTTCACTCCATGAACTTTTCAATTTGTCCTACATATATGTTAAAGCAATCTTTTTGGAAACTTAAAATATCAGTAATTGTCATTCTTTCTTTTGTGAAGAAGCTAATTTTGTTTCAGCTCCAAATCCTACTTTGATTTGATTTCCCTTAAGTAGATAATCTTTTTTATGAAAATTAACTCCTACTATAGAGCAATTATTTATATCTTTGTGTTTCACAAACAAGCTCAGCATGATCCACAACAGTCTTTCTAAATCACTATACATAAATAGAATCATTGGCAGTTTGGTACACCAACAAATATGGCTCTACTATGCTGACAACAAAGCTGAAAACTTCAAATTTTAAAAGAACAAGTTAGTCTTTAACAGCTTTTTTGACAATTAAAAAGCATATTGATTTGGGTTGCTTTAAAGATTGTAACTTTTCCCAAAACTCAATTAACTTAAATATATTAGGGCAGATTTCAATGCCACATTCTGCAACATTTATTTTTAACCCACCAAAATAAAAGAGGGTATTTTATTGTATCTGTGACTGTTTCAAAATCATGA